AAACGCTGAAATTAACCTGAGATTTGTCACTCGGAAAGATGTCCACTGATTTGTGAAGCGTGTGGATTACGCGCTCGAATGAGACTGATCCATGCACCTGGCAGTAGTCGAAAGAACTTATGATGCTGTCCACGTTTTGTCAACCTATTTACGTGTACATGTCTGTTGCAGCTCAGATTTTCAAAGGACACTTGCAAACTCGGAATTGGTACGATTTCAGCAGAATGAAATCGACTATCTCTGAGATCTGAGTGAGCCATTAAGCTTATAGACAGAATTCAGCCAAGCTCACTGATTTTTTAATTGCCTGCTACCACTGTTACACGCGGTGCCAAAACCTGCGGCCTTTCGCCGTCTATTCCCAGGTAAATTTTTCTATTCTAAATTCCTTCGCAGTTTCACAAAAAATTGACTTTCCACTGCGCAGACAGATTGCCCAATCAACGAATTCCTGTCGATGGGAGTTGGCGCTTGGCCGTTGACATGTGCTATGGAAAAAACGTTGCCTGATGTTAAGTCTTTCCACCTCAACCTCCGGCTGAAAAGCATCCTCAGGTGGAAGTAAGGTTTTTGGATTAATTAATTTCGAGTGGCGAATTGCACATGCCCCTATATTTGCCATGAATCGCTTGAATATGTGCCGGAATACCACAACACCTCATTAAAAGTGCCTTAACGCGCCCAATGCTAGTTGCTGCACATCGGTCGAACGAAAAGTTAACACGCCGGACGAAATTAAGACGCCCAGCCTGATTGGTAGTTTCCGCCTTGTCAGCGTAACATCAGTTGCTGTGGTGTCTAATGAAGGCGCTGCCAGCGTAGAACACCAAAGCTCCAGGATAAAGTAGACTTGTACAACAGTACGGAGCATATTGACCAATTATAACCCGCGACCGTACATCAGGCGCCATCCATCCTGGTTCCCTTTGCTCATTATGTACTGCTTCTCCTACGTATCTGTCTCTGATTGGCTGTATATCTTTATTCACTACTAAAGGATCTAGTTTGCTGTGTCAGCGCAATTGAATTTGTCAACAGTTTCTTGTGAGGTATGCCTATAAAGGAGGCGTCATTGAATAACATGGAAATGCAACGGATGGTTCAAGCCATCTGGTGTAATCTTGTTAATACCTATTATAAAAGCCGCAGTTTTGACGGGGTGAGTCGATATTCCAAACCTCCAGTTACCTGATTACAAGCTCTCAAACCTAGCGATAGTGCGTGAATAGAAAAACATTTGCCACTATCACAAGCCGGCGGTGACCATTGAAGTGTAAAGAAGCTTTCTTATAGAGTTATTGGAAGCAACAGCCTGTAATAATGATACTTTCAAGTAATGGGCTGTAAGTGTCATGAGGAATTAGCCTGACGAATGATTGGACAATTTAAACGAATGTCTAAATTAGCCCGTATTGATTATTGTCTCACTTGACCTGTTCCACAAGAGCTTCGGAAGTAAACAATCACCCAACTCAAAGAATAGTCAGTGCCTGAAACCTGCGGAAATCATCCTCACCACCACAAGTGAATCGTTATTGCTATTGCTGCCCTATTCGAACTCGCGTATTTAGACAAGAACGAAGGGTCTCAACCATCGAGGAATCTGGCTTTTCGCGGGTATTTGAAGGTCGAACGAATGAACAGGAGGATGCGGGCGTTATTGGATGTTCGCGCGGAGGCTTAGATGGGTTTGGTTACACGTACAGGGAAAACATGAAGCTCAGGGTAAACAATGGAGTCCATCGTGGTGGACCCAGAGTTAGGTGAAGTAGCCCAGCTGGGGCTTCGCAGTCATGCGCCATCTGTAGTGATGGTCCTGAGTTCTCAAGATCACAAGTCCAATACACTTGAGAACACGGTTTGCTTCCAACAATGACTGAGAGGCATTTGTAGTGTGTTCCAAGATTATGTTGCATCGTCCAAAGGCACAGTCACGAGCTTGGCATTGTGGTGGCTGTTCTTCTGGTGGATACATACGTCAATTTGCTGAAGCTTGTTCAAAGGACTTTCCATATAGTCACTAGCACAACGGTTTGCCTATACATCACAGTACAATCTAGTGAGCGATATACGTGTCCATAATCCCACTCCACCCATTACAAATTGTAAACCAGCATTATGAACAAAGTAAAACTAAGGTTTATTTGTTGAATTTGTCAAAATATTTCTGATAAAGAACACCGATGACCAGCAACCAACGGGGCATGAATCGGATAACGTTTTTTTGTGTCTACAAAGCACCCAAAAAGCAACTGCCCATGTTGAAATAACTGACCGGGCGTTGTGTGTTTTTCAGCATCTCTTCTAGCGAGACAACTTGAAAACAATAGGTGGCGCTGTTAAACGTTACTTTTTGCGTTAAGTGGGTAGTGCAGGAGGGGTGCCGTTTCAAGCTTGACCTCATCGCTACAGGACTGTTTATGTGTTGTGTTTAATGTCCCTTCAAGTCAAATTGTTATTGTTTTTAACTCCGCTGTTTGATGCTTTCCTTGGTAAAAGCAGACGTTGCTAGGGTGATGAAACTAGATGCAAGATTGTGTGGGTAGTTTTGACTTGCAAAGCACTACATTTGTGAGAGTTTGGGTTGGTCTGCGATAACCAATGTTGTTTGCATCCTCCGTGCATTCATTGTGAATGTCTAAGCGGATAGCGGTACGGGCGATTATGTTCAGTAAAGCTAACTTCAAAAACACTTATTACCCTTGTACTGGCGTCAACTCCCTCACCTACATTGTACGTAGTAAGGATGTGCTGCTGAAAGTTGGTCGTGCAAGTCTGTTTTGAAATGGCTAGTAGGAACGATGACTTGAGCTCTGTTGTTTCGTAATTCGAATTCCAGACACACGAGAAGTGCAGGACGTCGGAATTTTATTCAACGATGCAATTTCACATTTTCGACGAACCACAATAATAGGAGTCCAAAGGTCTATAAACTTTGTGCAGTCAAATCACGAGGCCTGTTTCGTCGCGTCTGCAGTTGTCCGTCACAGTTGCTTGTGTGGGACAGCTGTGTGGGGTTCCCGCTAGCATCAGACCATAAGAGATACCAGTTGAACCTCGCATTCGCAACCCTCATCAATCCCTCTGATTCCTCAGAGTACGAAGTAAACTCGAAAAATGTAGATATTTCGGTGTCTTGATTGCCTCTCACGTCGCGCAGACCAGCCGGACGTCAAGAACTGAAACAGGTTGAGGAGCAACCTCAGTGTTCCGCGTGTGTTTCCTCCGCAGGTGGGATTTTGCAGCGAGTCCTGTGCAGAGAAGGCCTGCTCGTCTCCATCGTCACCTGCTCATGGACTCGGACGACACTGCTATGAATGCGACAGCCTGCTTCCGTGTCTGCTGCTAGACAACTACGCCGGCTGGCCAAAGTCCTCGAGTGAATCGATTGGCGGCACAGACGTCGCTCATCTGGCCTTCGCCTGCGTCGCTGACACCGACTCAAACAGCCTGCTGGACTTTGTCTGCGAAACCGGAAGGTACCAGGTAGTCGGCTAGTTTTACTTCAAATTGGTCAATTATACCAAAAACAAAGGTGATTTTCCAGATAATTTGTAGTAGATTTATACCACTTGAAAAGTTCTGTGCGCGTCATTTGGCGCAAGAATATTCCAAAATCTAGACTTAGTTTGCAAAGCATTGTTTTTTTTGAAAATAGAACGTGTCTGTTGCTTTTGACACTCATTTTAAACCTGCTTTTTATCGAACGTGAAAAATTGCGGATTTTGCGTGAGCCTTTGTTCAATTAGCAGGCGTCCAAAAAATGTACAAAGATTGACTGAGGAAGGTTGGAGTTTAAATTTTTTAAATGAAGGCAAGAATTTGGTCAGGACAGGACTGCTTGCAGGCAGTGATCGAGCCTGGGAAGAACACGTGTTTTAAAACTGTGGCCAATGCTAAACAAGGGTAAGCTAGTGTCTGTCATCGAGGTGAATATCGCTTACATACTCGGAATTGGTATTATTTCAGCAGAATGAAATCAAATATCTCTGAGATCTGAGTGAGCCATAAAGCTTATAGACAGAATTCAGACAAGCTCACTGAATTTTTAATTGCTTCGTGAAGCCTCCAATGCGTGATGTGCGCAATTAGTTGAAAACACGGGTAAGGTCATTTGAAGTGGTGAAGTTTGAACATTCGACGGTAGAGAAGGCATTTGAGGCGGTTGGTTCTGTCGAGGTAGAGCAAAAATTGCAAGCCGCAATTAGGAATTAACGCCCTTGAAACGTCAACCACCGTGTATGAGGATACGATGACCACGATCGAAAAGCACATTCTTCTGCGACTTCAATGGTCATTTTGAGGAATTCTGACGCGCTACAGGCTTTATTTCGTGTTAATGAGGTTTGCGGAACGTCATCTATTTGAGAACTTAAAAGATTTAGAATGTTGGCAGGATTGTTACTTGTTTTACTTGATCAATCCTATTACTTTCCGATGCGAGCTGCCTTGCAAAGTGCTGACATTCACACACGTATTGTTGAAGAGCTACCTGTCTTGACGACAATTGGAAAAAAACTCACGGTTGAATTTAAACCTAGAATGCACAGTTGAAGTCATATTTTTGCATTCATGACTCAGACTCAGTAATTAAATTGGCATAGTGACGGTTGTGCCTTGGCCGCAGCCGATTTTTGTCACGAATCGGAACCTCTGGCAGGACGTGTTATGGCAAATCGGACAGAGCCAAGTGCCAAAGACAGCTTTTGAGATGTGGTTTAGGATGATGGTATCATTGGTAGAGAAGTGTCTCATTGTTGAATGATTGCAGAACAAAATGTTGTGAACATTTGCGAACCTACGGTCGGTGCTTTATTTGATCAATCCTGTTACGTTTCGATACAAGCTACCTTGTGCCGCGCAAAACCACCCATGGGATGTTCATTCAATCGTCAAGTGTAATAAGTCACATCAAGCTGCCAATCGCCTTGTGTATTTTGGACAGAGATGCCTCAACAGCGCTCTTAGCCATCTATCTGCAGTGAGTGGTGGCATAGTCTGGAAGCAAACTCAGGGCTAGTTACAAATCAAGAATCCACTGATTAACCATGATGTCATTGAAGTAGGTCAACGGGTTTGCTTATTATTGCGCACATTTGCAGTCACATTTTTGCATTCATGTGGCGAACTATAATTAAAATGGCATATTGAAGATTGTGCCCCAATCGCAGTCGGTATTTCCCACCAACGATGCAACCAAAAATCGCCACATCCAGGAGCCTTCAACACTGTGCTTCCATCATTAATCAAACCGAGGAAATGCGTTCTGGTGGAATCTGCAGTGGCGAATAGGGCAAAGCCAGGGCAATAAGTTGTGCTCCATTTTGCTTGCTCTTAGAGTGGACCACGTCACCAGGTCTTTGTTCGCACGGCTGCTAGAGCGACATTCTCTGTGGTGTTCAATCCGGTTGATTATGGTTTATCAGCTTGGCTGGTAGCAAACACCGAATACGGAAGCCCAGCTGATGTCTGGCAGCTCACGGTGGCCACCATCTTTTTGACCTGCTGCCTGTTTAATTCTAATCCCCCCCTGCATCACCACACGCTCACGCTGACCCCTACCACACCTAATCTCCACCCAGCTCGGCTACATTTTGCGGCAAAGCCTGTGGAGTTTACTATATGGATGCAACTGGAATAGGTAGCAGTATACGCGGTATCAGTTAGTTATATCAGTTGGAATCAGCACTGATTAAATCGACTGGCTGCTTAACTCGCAACGTGCTAAAATTTTACTGCAGCAACGCAACGAAGCCTCTCACTAATTTAGCCCATGATCAGCTCGTTTACGGTCCACAAACATCAAAAATAGTCATTTCGAGAAAGTCACCTTAAAAAAGACGGAAATCATATTAAATAGTGGAGTGCTCTAAGAATATGCTAACATCGTATAAGGTATGGAATGGCTAAATTAAATTAAATTAGGGTTAAATTAGGGCTAGCTATGTCAGGTGACTTGTGACCGGGTGGTTTGGAACTGAATTTATTGGGTCAAGGCAAATATGCATTAACATAATTTATTAATAACAGACAGCGAGGTATTTTTTGTCTTCGTTCATGACTTTTTCACAAGGTCTCGCAACTTTCTGAAACTCGTTGAGCTTGTAATCTAGCTAAGTCTTGCTACAAATGCCAAACCATTTCATGGTGGTTTGATTTAATCAAAATTTTGCAGAGATGGCATTAATTAGTGTTCAGCTTCCAATATTTCGCAGATGTTAAACACAGTTTGGATATTGCTAAATCCAGTAAACGATTCATAAGTGGAAAGTCAGTGTTTGCATATCAAGTGCAAACGGATGCAACTGGAATATTTAAAGACCTGCCATCAAAAAACAGCAGTTGGATTTATTAACATTTAAAGAAAATAGGTGAAAAATTAGGCACGCGTAGATAATCATGACACAAACGATTCGAGGTAATTAGCCAGTGCAGAAAATGCGATGTTCTATCGAAAGGCTAATTTGGCGGCGTGCCTTTTTTCTTAGTTTTCGAGTAATGTCGGAAAGCACGCATATTATTCTGTGCCAGCTCGATCTGTGTATTGTGTGAATGTCACCATGTTGGAGGCTAATATGTCTGCAGCCTAGTATGACACTAAACCACACTGCGACGGATAAGGATCAGCGGGTTTCGGATCGTGGAAGCACAAATAAACACCTTAATTGGTGTGATGAATAATTCACTACAAAAGCAGCTACTTCACTGTGCCGGCAAGTCTGTTTTAGATGGACAGTTTTCTGTGAGGTCTGCGAAGAAGTACATGTCATTGCAGAGCTTTGAGACATACCAGATGGTTCAGGCCATCTGGTGTAGTCTTGTTAATTCTTATTATGAATGTTCAAGTTTTGACGGGGTGAGTCGATATTATATATCTTTAGTTACCTGTTTACAAGCTCACTAGCCTAGCGATAGTCCGTGAATAGAATCCTTTGCCACAATCACTACCTGGCATTGACGATTAAAGTGTAAATAAACTAGCTCATAGCGTTGATAAAATTAACGCAACTTTTGAAAGGATTGTTTTTAGGAAGTGGAGAGGTAATTGTCGATATGAAAGCCGTAGTAAGGAGAATAGGGCTTAACTAATGAAGAGTGACGTAGGCTTATGCTGTCGAAATCGACCCCGTTAATCACCTTTACACTATACCTGTTTGAAAAAATTACCAGAAATGACCAATCTCCTGATCCAGCGAGGATTCATTGCCTGAAACCTGTGCAAATTAGCAACTACATTACTAGTGAGAAGCGACGAATGGAATGAATCAATCGTTTGGGCATCTAACATTTCCGTCGAATGTGTGAAGATTGGAGAATGTGAGGCATTGAGTGTTGGCACTGCGTGACAAAACAAGGGTTCCATGATCGCGCATGACCTGAGGTGACGGTCACAATCCTCAAGATCGCCAGGCCATCGCACTTGACAAATTTGTTTACCAATGAAAATGACGACGACGCCAGATTGTGTTCAAATCACACCTGCATCTTCGAATGGCGCAGTCACCAGCTAGGCAATGAGGTGGTTATTCTTCTGTTGAACACATACGTCACTTTGCTGAAGCTTGTTCAACTGATCGCCGGTATAACCACTAGCACAACGGTTTGCCTCAATACCTCATAAGAAACTAGTAGTTGATAGTTGTATTTGGAACATTTGAATTGCTAATCACACTCCACCTATTGCAAATTGAAGGCGAGGGTAGGGTACAATCAACAGGAATGGGTTAACTTGTGGCACTTCTGGATTGTTAAGATAAAGAGCGTTGCTGTGGGCCCCAGCGTGTGGCCTTGAACCACACCAGGGTCACTGAGTTAAACCTGTCCCATTACGCTTTCCTGCTATCCGCGAGGAATAATAAGAAGACCAGAGAGGACGTGGACACAACCGTTTACTTCAGAGCTCCACCACGCTAGTGTCGTTGCGTCGTGTGTGGTGTTTGCAGCAGCCACCTGGAATAGATTCAAGTAACTTATTTTTGTCTGCAATACACCAAAAAACGATTGCTTATGTTGAAATAACTGACCGGGCCTTGTGTGTTTTTAAGCAACTCTTCTTGCGACACAACTTGAAAACAATAGGTGGCGCTGTAAAATGTTACGTTTTGTGTTAAGTGGGTAGTGCAGGAGGAGTGCCGTTTCAAGCTTGACCTCATCGCTACAAGACTGTTTGCGTGTTGTGTTTAGTGGCCTTTCGCGTCGATGAGCTCATTCGCAAGTCAAATTGTTACTGCTTTTTCACTGCCATGTTTGGTGCCTTGTTAATTGCTGGTAGAATTTACTCAAACTGCTACATCCATGCGTTTGCACTTGGAAGTTGAACGAACACAACTTAGATCAACGCATGTTCACCTAATTTCACTGCTTGCAAGTCGGCAACAACAATGGATTTCCTGTGGAAAATTGTGACAAGTAATGAAAAGCGTTTTATTTACGAATAACCTAAGCGCAAACTTGGTGGTTAGATATCGACAACCCAGTACATCGACGTCGAAATCGGATATCCACTTAATGAGGAATGTTCTCTTGTGTATCTAGTGCGGGGACATGAAGGTTTTATTTTACTTCGAGCTCCTGACAACTGGTCAGATGGCGACTGCGGAACGCTCTGTAACACAAATTAAGTCAAAAGCTTCTTATTTCTACGACCGGTTTCTGCGTTGCCGCCATCTTAAATGTTCAGTCACGTTACAGCGATTACCCACTAGTGTTTGGACATCAACTCACAAAAGTGCTAATGAGGACAAGCTTATTGATCGACCTAGCTGACCTACATCCGCATTATCTTACACGTGACTGAGTCACGAGACGTGGACGAATAAAAGTGCAAAGTAACTTACATTCGCGCCTAAAAAGGGTTTAACACGACCACTGATGTTCACACTCAGATTCTATTGGACAACGCATCAGCCAATCAGGCCAAGCATGCAGCCTGCGTCCTTAAAAGCGCCAATGCCTTGAACCATGGGCTGGCATTTGCAAAATCATGAACGCTCGCAGTGGCATCGCATCCCCTGGTGGGAGGCAGGTTCTCTTCGCCGTTGATGGCTCAGAAAACGCCAAGTTTGCATTCCAGTGGTACCTGAAGTGGTTTCGCCGTCCAGATGATGCAGTTCT